ATACTACTATATATAGTACTATAGTAGTACCATAGTAGTGCCATAGTGCTATATATAGTACTATGATATATACTATAGTATAGTGTATTATATATTATACTATATACTATACTATATATACTATATACTATACACAATACTATATATACATACCAATGTCGATATACTAGATTTTCGGGTACGTTTATAGGTGCGATCTAATGATACCTCTCCGACAGATGGAGAAATATTTGCAAACCAACTGACGTACACCTGATAATCAACTAATACGACGCACTAATACGTCGAAACCTCTCGGTACCGCAAAATTCTGGCTGTAATCAAGGACAACAAGCCAGTGCGTCGAACTTTCATTCATCAGCTAGGTTGCTGAAGCACCGCATCGCTCCACCCCGCCGATGTTACCTGGGCTGTTGATGCAGCTTTCGCAAAAGCAATGCCAGCTTCAGACAACAAGTCGACCAACAACTTCTCAAGTATTTCCATCACCGCTTGGTGCAGTTTGGCCGCACGAAGTCGCTTTGATGTTCTCCGTCCTGCTTTATTGCTGATCGACTTGTGGCCTTTCACAAGATTGCGTATACCATCGGCTGCACGACCAATATGAATGAGGAATTTAGGGAAATCTTGTGTAGTGTTTCGCTTGAATGCGTAGTGGATCGAAACTCTGCTAATTTTGACCCTTATTTTGCAACAATGGTATCATCATGCAGTTACGGAAGAACATTTGTGGTAATCAAGTCACTGAACTACATCGAGCTTTGTTGTTCCAGTATCCGACCCAGACCGTCCTTTTCCTGGGGTATTAAATCGTTCAGATACGATATTATTTTTTCACTGCTCATGGTCAGATGAGTAATCTGCGTTGTTAGTGTTTTTTTCGTAAAACGACTCAACTGCGTCTATGGGTGATAAAAGAACGCTTGTAGCTAAGTCTCGCTTATCCTTGTACCTCGTTTTGTAGTGGGAGACTTTTTTTCCATACATGGTGGACCTAAGAGTGCGCGGATTGCACATTCTGGGTTTGATCACTGAATTAGCGAAAAAGATCGATAAAAATTTAGAAATTCCAGCATGAGTGTCTGACCAGTGAGTAAACGCTTACGCTGAAATATCCCGGGGGAGGGATGTCAGTAGAAGATATTACAAGCAGAATAAGCCTAGGCCCTCTGACTGTATCGATTAGAGTGTCCTTATCAGCCGCGCTACAAAAGTCTTCCTCATTCCTTTGATATGAGAACACGTCCCTTGGAGAATTAACATAGGGGAGAGCGGAATTCTGGACAGTCCACTTCCGATTTCCGCTTTGTTCCCGAATCCCCGTCGTTTCGATTTCCCACACTGGTGTCTAAGCACACATGCGATAAACGTCTCCTTTTGAGTTAAACCATCTCGACAATGTTTGAATTCAAGCGTGGAACTAGACCAGCGAAATTTTGAAGACTTCCCCGCCCAATGAGCTCCAAAAAGCTGGAACCGACAGTGGGTTGTTAAAAGTGTTCACCGGAGTTATTATTAGTAACGAAGATTGTGTGCAGACTGCCTCTATTTATTTTTACAGGAATAACCGTTTGTTCTTGGCGAGTATCTATAAAAAGCCGGAAAACTCACCGCCGTGTTTAAGTCAGGTGAAACAGCTATTCCTCTAGATAAGATGGTCCATCAGATGTATGACTTCCGGTTCATCTCAGGTGGAACGGTGTGAGGTGCGAGCATGTATTTTCAAACACCCATCAGCTGGCCATAGATCAATACAATTATATCACGTTATCCGAGTGGATGTAGAGTCACGCCAGACAGACATTTGTCACATGTGGCTGGCCGATTGATAGGATCGGGGCTGGATAGATCTCCTTCCAGATACTACGGTTCCTACTTCGCTTACCGCTGGAATTTGTGGGAAGCCAGGTGGCATTCGAATTTCAACCACAAATGATAAGTCCTGGTTTACTTCCAATTCCAAATACTGATGATGAATTTAATAAGTAGGTCAAAGCTAATGTTAGATCTTTTCGGATCACGAGCGCTCGAAATAGGAGACTCGCCTGGAACCCAGCTGAATCTCTCGTCTTAAAACAGTTCATTCATTTGGGATAAGATCTAACTTATCCTGTATAAATCGCTTAGCTGTTCTGTGGTGCAGTATCGCAGATTTATGAATGGGTCCAAGGCAATAGGTCCAAAACAGGTCGAACTAAGAACTCAAAAGAATTTGAGTAGAGTCCCATTTTCATCCTACAAGTTTAAAGTCAAAACACAAGTCAGTGGAACAAAATGTTATACTCTGACGTTTCTTTTTCCAGAAAAGTCGGGTTATAACATATCATTCCGATGCGCTGTCTTGACTTTAAACTTTCTTTATTGTACTCTGCACCTAAATACGCTTCGAGTCCAAATTGACCCGGAACTGCTAGTCCATCATCACTTGTTGTGGCTTTTGTTAGATCGTGATCTACTGTTGCTTCTCAGTCCATGACTTTTTGCAACCATCCACCTGTGATAAACTTGCGTTTCTGCATTTATGCCTCATGTTGGAATGCGGGACATCGGGTGTTTGACACGAAGACGATTGGATCAGCTTCCAGAGACCCTTGGTTGAAAAAAAAACCGGCAGTAGTACGGTGTTGGGTTTGAAATGGCTAAGCATCGGAGTGTTCTAAAAATCTCAAAAACCAACGGCGTTGCAGTTCATCGCAGAACAATAAACTCCAGGTCATTTGCGATGAAATGAAAGTTCATCACTTAATGTCCGTTTAACAGAATGATGACGTCACTAAAGGACCACTGTTTAAGTGACCTCCCGGGAGCATCAGTTCTGCCGGGCAATTAAATTATCGCCTCACGAGTGGTAGTCCTTGTGAGGAACGACAGACACACCTAGGTAGATGTCAGCGGTATACTCGGGCTCCTTGCGTTCACGAAACTGTAGTTTGATATCCTTCAAAATGCCGAAGAAGGCCTCTGGATCTCCAGATTATTTTAACATGGTATGATGAGCAAACGATTGTTTTTCGCCAAGCTTTTTAATTTTGTTGCAGTCGAGCCTGGCAGGTCGTGAACTCAGTGAACATCGCATACTTGGATAATTGGACTGTGCACATGGTCACTCTGCGGTCACCTAGACAACATCAAAATAACAACAAGTTTCAGATGGTGTTTCGACCAGCCCGAGTGCACTTAAAGGTGTGTTTTGCGGTGTAGGTTCGTGCCTGTTGTATCCAAAGAACACCTTCAACGCGACCAGCGCAGAACAGAGTATGAAAACATCAAGTGGTGGGGAGGTTGACCACGTGAAACTTCAAGTCAAGCACTCGTAATTCCAAAGCGGTCCAGCTGCTCTTCCTCAGGGGTCCGCTATGCTGACATTGCAGTGCGCTAGAAGAGACAAAAATGTTTCCACAATATTCTCACGGAGAAAGTCAACCCTTACTAGACAACGAGTTCGATTCCACTCGCCATGAGAACTCGAAGTCCAAAACGCCTTTAATTAGAGATGAATATTCTACGCATGCAAAACTGGACGTCTAGCGTCCGTCGAATTCTATTTCTCTCTTGTTTGCGTTCTGTGATAGATCTGAAATTCGATCTTGGTGGATCCCATAAACAGCGCTTTTCCAATTTATTCCACGAAATTTAAGTTCATTCGACAGACCAGGCGCGCTTTGCGAAGCACACCCATTTGTCCAGCGTCATCACTGATTGTGACTGAGCTAGGATTCAGTCGAATCCCCGGCGGCGCCAATATAATTTGGAACAGGATTAGTCCGTAGGTAGATCAGAAATGCTGGAGGTAGGGCCTAGGAGGTTAAGATCTTTTTGTGTCGTGGGTGACCGTCCATTGGTTACGACTGCACTGAGCCTGCCAGACTACGCGATAAGGAGAAGACAGAGAACCCGGGACACTACTGTATTGTCAAGACAAAACATACAGAGCTTCTGCGTACATGTATAGGATTACTAAATGACCAAATATGATCGTTCAGTTGTCCGTTCTGTACAGCCAGTGGCGGTGTTCCGTTCGTGAACAATTTCAGCCTCACTCCACCGGTCGTATGTTGCTAAGCCGTGTTTGGTGTGCTCCGCCAACTTCACCTACTTTCCGTACGTGTCGCACCGATGGTAACCTTGGGGATGCGTCACTCTCTGCACATGTACTTTTTCCATGTCTGGGCGCGTCCTAACAGATCTGGATTCAAGTATGTTCCCAGACGTCATTGGGTTTCAGAACGGCTCGACACTGCCTATTAATTCGAAAGCTTCGGCTGACTTGTGGTTTTCTGTATAACAAGACGGTGTTTAGCAAGAGGGACACGCCTGTCATGACAAGGAATAGCACATCAATTCAAAGAGACATATTTAGTTTTATACATAACGGTTCATTGTAGCTCGTCCTCTGCAACACTATTGCGCACCATCATTCAAACTGATATTTTAAATTGTCTGCGGTTTGAACTCGTCTACTTGCTCCTGATAAACGTATAGTACGTATGAGGGGAATCGTCTTTGAAAATGGTGGTCTTTCCATGAGAGTGGGAAAGACCCAGCGGAGGTCAAACAAGGACTTGAGAGCGAAGTGTGAAAGCTACCACCAGCAGACTGAGCCACGCTGATCACTGCCGTTTTCCGGGATGGGGACCCCAAGACGGGTCACATCAATGGTTGGAGACGTTGTCATGGCCTGGTCGCGCCCTCAATGGCGCTCTTGCATCCAAGCTATTGCCTTCAATGCATAACTCCCTTCCAAATCCCCCAAGTGACAACCCACTGACAGTGCTGGATTTATGCACCATTTCATCACGTTCAGCTTCCAATTCCAGCCTCCAGTTCCTCGAGTGACAACTTCGCAGATGGAAGTTCCATTCATCTCGCGAAATCACTCCTTCTTTGAGCTACTTATAGAATGTTGCGATTACGAAAGGGTCCGAGAATTTTTATTGGTTGCTTCTTCCTATGGTCAAGACAAACTATACCAAAAAGTCCAGGAGCACTGAAGGACTATTTAGCATGGTTTCACTCCAGTTACAGGACGAAATTTTGATTGAAAAGCAATTCTGTTAACTTAATCGGTTTGATGGATACTCGACAACTGAGGGATCGACACAGGGCGAAGGGACACAGTGATCATTTGGGGATGTGGCAGAATGCGATCTCATAGAATGTCAGGTGAACTCGAAATTGCTGCGAGTCAGAGGGTCCGGGGTTCGAATCCACACTCAGCACCTCAACTGCTCCTGTCTAGTGGACCTCAAAAAGTGTGAAGATGGTGAACAAACAGGTTTATCTCTTTCTGATACTTTTATATGCAGATTACGCTTGGTACCTCACCATAAATAGCAAAGTTTTTCATGCGTACTGTAACACAAATTTTTGTAAACATCATATCATTGTACCAGCAATGCTCGCCACACTACTTACACAGTTTTAGGCATATTTGCAATGTAATTTTGTATTTCACTCGAGTCGTATAGTGTTTTGATTTTGGTTAGTCACTCGGTTGTTTATAAATGTTCATTGTGGCTTCACTTTTTTGTTTTTGTCTTTTCCAATACAGAAAAATTGATTTACCACTGAATTGTGCCTCTTCAAAGCATTCTGACTTGCGGTTTTCCACATTCTCACAGGCGCCAAGATGCACACAGCTTAGTCCGTCCGAGTGTGATGCGACCGACGCCAGTGGTAAAAAATCGATCACATTCCGACCAGAGCATGACTCACCTCTGGTCTGTGTAAGCTGATTTCGCGCTGGTACGCTGTGGTTTGATGCCCTTCTGGCTAAAGCAGGCACACAGCCAAGAGCATTCGGGCAAGACGGATGAAATCTGAAAAACTTCTCAAAGAGAGAACATAAGAGATTCGTTATTTTCATTCAAATGCCTGTAAATTTAAACTGACGATCCCCCCCTAGGGTGGCTGGTTCAATCTGACCAGAAAGCCAGCTGATGACTTTTCAGCCTGCTCGTTTTGATTCCGCTGGCATCGATCACTCCCTACAATACATTAGCCCTCGCAAAATATTTTCAGATCCGTACAGTCCTTTCCACCTCAAATTCTGGTCAATCTGTGTACCAGAAGGCAGTGCCCAGGTGTCTAGGTTGGTGCCGTCATTTAAACCGCTGTATGCGAGCAAATTGCTCATTTACACCCAACGCATCAAATGGGCTTCATTTGAGCACGAGAGTGTAAACACGTGACAGGTGTGTGTGACATGTGTGACCGTTCATCATTATGTCAAACTGAAAGAATCGATATTTCGTTGGACTGGGGTCGAAAAAAACTCGCGATGTGTGCGAAAAAACAGACGTTTGTCGATCCGGGCGGTAGAACGGTCGAAGCTGATTCTGTTCAGTAATTATGGCGTTGTTTGTGTTAACACAACTGCTGTAGAACGAGCTTTTTGTGTACTTCCCTTATCGATTTTTTAAACCGTGTAGTACATATCCTAAACAGTTGTATTTTAGGGCAGCCTATATTAGCCAGGTGATCGAACAATTCCAGTTTGTTGCCAGTAGCACATACGAAACTCGATGCAGTCAGAAATCCTTCCATTCGTATATTCAAAACCTTTTTTCCTAGTGCTTTCGTTTGTCGTGCACGAATGAAACTACTCACAAGGTTGCTGAAAACTCTTTGACAGCCCACGACCGGTTTCGCCCTTCCACTTTGGCTCATCAGGTAGGCGCAGTC